AGAGACACCAGGAAGTGGGCCCAAAGCTGGGAAGGAAGGCAGCCAATGAAGGTACATCACAGAGTAGGTGACATGGTAACCAGAGCGTAATCCGGCCAGGAACTCTGGGAAGCTGTTGGGAGGACACACTTGGAATCATCTAATAGGACTTACTTACATCCATCTATCTTCTGTCCATCCTAGAGATGGGCTGTCAACCCTGCTGGCCTGTGGAAATCCAGCAGAAACCTCAACCAGGGATGCTGCAGGCAGGTGGATCCTGAGATGGTGCAGGCATGGAAAGGAGGTGGGTCACAGCACACCTGCCCCAGCCTCCCAAGTCCAAGTCAGAGAACAGGACCCCCCAGGATTTAAGGTGCCTTTGACCCAGGGGCTGTAGTTCCTTCAGAGCTAGTGACCCAGGCCCAGCCCAGCAGCTCTTCGGGGCAGAAACTCTGTCATTTCTATGCTATGAATAAGCAAACCCATTCATTCTGCAGCTAAGAAAACCAAGTCCTTGCTGAGGGTGTGATGGCCTCAAAGCCCAAGGATGAATGAGGCCCAGTTTCTCAGTGAGGCCCCCATAATCCTTGACCTTCAGCCAGAATGCCCTGTAACTGCAGCACCCACACACACAACCTTCCATGTGTAGTCACCCACACTTGGCTATTCCACACTCCTCTCCCTCAAAGAGAGGAAGAATGTGCAAGTGTGCTGTGAGAACCCACTCCCAATCCAATGGAGGCCGGCCTCGGCCTCCATCTTTCCTGATCAAACTTTAGAACACGTCTTCTGAGGGTGGTCAACCCACCCAGTGGAACACATGGCTGTGGGCCTGTTCTGTTACACTTTAATTGTGTTTTCGTAGCTGATAATTAACCATCTGCACCCATTGAGATGTGCCAATGCCTTAGTTTTAATTAGGATTAATGGCGCTATTTTGAACTTACAGAACCCATTTCCCCTGAGACATCAAAACCTCCTCTCCACTAAGAAGTCCCAGATGGTGGCTTCAAGCCTGAACATCCTCTAAAGATAGCAGATTAAAGGAATTCCACTGGAATAGTCTGTGTCAAAATGTGCTAAGTGGTAGTCCAGAGGGAGAATTGCTTATCAGTGGAGTGGGGTCAATGGCAGCATTTAGCTAAGTCACAGGAGCTGATGCAAATTCAGGGGAAAGGTGTGAAGTGCTTGCTTGCAAATATTTTCCTTTTTTTTAAAAAAAAAACTAGTGTTCTTAGCTACTGTGGCCCAGTCAGCATCCCTGCTCTCTCTCCCTCCACTGGCTGGTAATCCACCCTGCATCCTGGACAGCTGTCCAAACCACAAATTTGATCTGGTCTCTCTCCCACTAAGACCTATAAGCAGCTGCCTGCTTCTCTGTCTACAAATATCTAACCCTTACGTGGCCGGCTGGACGCTCCAGAATCTGCCTCCCCACCTCTCCAGATGCCACCTCTGCTGTCCATCCCCTTTCAACTATTCCTGTGTTCTTCCCCACGCTGGTCCTCGGCCTGGCAGCCCCATCCACAGAGCACACAGTGCATGTGCACTGCTCCTTCAGAGACCTCCTTAATGTCCTCATCTCTAATCCATCCATCAGCAAACCCCACTGGACATCAGCTGTGGGGAAGGCAGCAGAGAGCAAAGGAGACACAAGGCCTACTCGTGAAGAGCACAATGAACAAGGAGCAAGGAGAGAAGTTGACCATGCTACCTACAGAAGGAAATAAAAAAGAGACATGAAGGAGGAGAGAGCAGTTCAGAAGGACCTGCCACTTCAGCCTCATTAGCTAGACACCACAGTCCCATTTCCCCCCCTGCAGAAGCTCCTGCTGCCTCAGGAAACCTGGCCCATGGGGAGGAGGCCATAGGTCATACCAGACACCTGTGTCAGGCCACCTGCTTGGGCTACAGTTGGACTGCAAGGACAAGAGAGGCATCTGGAACAGAGTTACCCACCTCACATCAGCCAGGAAACAAAGACAGGAAGGGGCCAAAAACGAGGAGTGTCATTCCAGGGCACACCTCCAATGACTCACTTCCTCCAAATAACCCTTCTCCTTCTTCTCATCAAGTTAGGAACCCATCAGTGGATTAATCCACCAAGTAAGTCAGAGCTGGGGACCAAGCTTTAAAACACATGAGCCTTTTAGGCTCATATCCAACACATAACAGTGGCCTAATTTGAGGAAATCAGTTAAAAGACCCCTGACCACATGAACCGGGTTCTTGTGCAAGTTGCCTTACAAAATCTCAGAGCAGAGAGCAGAACTCAGATCTCCAGAAAAGACATGTGCAGCCCCAGCCAAGCATCCACCCCAGCTCCACGTTCTCCCTTGATCTGTAGAAAAGTTCCGAAGGCAATACTCAGCCTTCACACTGAGACTTCAAAAGGAGACAAATCAGAAGATAAAAAGAAAACGTGTCAAATATGAGTCATCTGCCATCTTACTGACCCCAGAGCCAGCTCTTCCCACTAGGCTCTGAAGTGACGTTGACCTTCAGGGAAGCCAACTTGCCAGCACTCCATGGCATTGCAAGCTGGAACACCACACACAGAGGCTCCACCTTGAGAGTCTGATGGAGGTACTTCCAAGACCCTCCAGGGAAGTCACGAGAGGTGGGACCTTATCCCCTAGCCCTTCCCACGTTACAGAAGAGCTGTGAGCTGCCCCCTAAGACGTGCGGCAAGGGTCACAGTGATTTCAACTTCAGGACCAACCAGGAGTGTGATGAAAACACTTCCTGACAGTAAATATCCTGCACTCCACAGCCCCGAAGGCTGGTTTTGTCACATTTCAGTGTGCAATGTAGGTTTCACACATTTGATAGAACCCTTTAAGATGGAGTTCACTTTCCATGTGTCAACTGCAAGCCAATCTTCCCAAAATCAAGTTGTAAGCATTTAACTCTATAAGAGAATCCTGGTGTGTCTGCTATCTGTACAGACCCAGATAAATGGAAACGGTGCCTGCCCAAGAGGGCTCATGGTCTGGACGGGGGCATGGCCCAATCTGGGTCCTCTTTGATTGGCTGAAGTCCATGGTCTTCTGGCAGTGGAGTGAGCTGTAGCAGTGCAGGCTCTGGAGAGAAACAGGCTGGAGTTGGTCCTGCCCCGTGGCTCTGTGGCACTGGGTGGCTTCCTGATGAGTGTGTGCACTAGAGTGCAGTGCTCACACAGGGAGCTTTGCCTCCAGAGGCTTAGGGCCTCTGAATCCAGACCCTTTCTCTGTCCCCACTGCCACTACTGAGCCCTCCTGCAAACCCACCACCTCCTTTCTGGATGTTTCCAACAGCCTCTTGTATCCACTTGTACACTCTCATCCTTTCTCCAAAGAGCAGAGCTCTCTATAAAGTGCAAATGGACCACTTCAACCCCCAGTGGTTTTCTTCAATAACCAACCCTTGCCCTGCTTGCCTTTGCCACCACATCCCATGCCTCTCTACTTCCTTCAGGTGCCCAGATGCATTGACCCAATCCTTTCACCCCTGGACCTCTGCATTCCCATCCACCCACCCAGAATGACCATCTCTGTGTCTTCAGGAGCCAAGTGTCCTCCAGCATGGCCCAGCCCCGCCCCCCACCAGTGCTAAGGTCAACCCCACTGCCCTGTGAATCTCCTCCACAGTGCTGATCTTACATGCTACTATTCAGTCAATCACTCATGCCCTCCACGTAAGGGATTTTCCTGGAGACAGGGTCATGGCTGTTCAGTTGGGGAAGCTACAGCCAGCAAATAACTGCGATGTGTTCACAGAATGACTGAGTCCAGCATGGCGACCATCTAGCAGTGTTCAGTCTTACTGATCAGGATGAGTGGGGAGGGAGGACACAGACCTGGAGGTCAGGAGGGCTGAGGCATCTGGAACTGGTTGTCATGGTGATTGGGAAGGGTGACATGCCCTGCAATTGCACAGGACAAATCTCTCAAAAAAAATTATTATCTTGCCTGAGTGTCAATGGTGTTGCTGCTGCAGGGCCCACTCAGGAGCGAGGCCACCACACACCCAACCAAGAGAAGTTAAGAGGACATAGGAGAGCAAGCTGGGCAGGAGCTTCTGTTGTCACTCAGGCAAGGGTTAGATGGGTCAGAAGGGTTAAGAGAGGGTCCCAAGCCAGAGCTCTGATGCTGCTCTGGGGGCTGGGTAGCTTTGGGCAAATCAAGTGACCTCTCTAGGCTTTGGTTTTTTTATACTCAAGGGTATAGTAAGCCAATACCTGCATGGCTTACTTAATCTGAAGGCTAAACTGGGAAGATCCCTAACACAATAAACAGATGGTCTCCAACTTACCATGGTTTGCCATAAGACATCTGGATTTTATGATGTATGAAAATTGAGCTGGGAGTGGTGGTACATTCCTGCAATGCCAGCGCTCAGGAGGTTGAGACAAGAAGATCATGAGCTCAAGTACAGCCTAGCACAAATAGTGAGACGCTCCAAAAAAAAAAAGATATGTATTCAATAGAATTGTGGCCTCTTCCTGGGCTAGTGACATGCAATCCAATACCTTCTCCACATGCCCACCTGTAGGTTAATGTGGGTGGTCTGAGCAGGTTTAAGGGAGGCGGGACTAAGCTGTTACTCAGTAGATTAGGTGGATTGAATACAGTTTCGATTTACAGCATATTCAACTGGGGTTTTGGACGACATTACCCTGTCCTATGCAGAGGAGTGTCTGTGCTCAATAAATGTCATCAAAGGTGTCCATGAGGTTCTCAGTTTGTGATGAAGACAGCCTGACACAGAGCAGAGGGCCGTCAGAGAGCCAATAGAATGCTGCTTTCTCCTTTGATGGGCCGACCAGAGAAACGTTTGCATCCGTTGGAGCTTAAGGGCTGAGGGCTGTCCAATGCCAGCACCCTGTCCTCAAACCATCGCTTACACAGGCATCACTGCTTCTGATAGGCGAGCACTCCCTGCCCAGAGGTGGTCCTATGGCCTGGTTCATGGAGGTGGGATGAGGGGCACAACCTGCTCAGGGTGACTAATTCCTGCCCACTACTCTCCCACTTCAGGCGGCATCCCATTCATCCTGACTGGAGAGTTCTTCCAGCAATCGCAGCGGCCAGCAGCCTTCATGATTGCGGGCACTGTCAACTGGCTGTCCAACTTCGCTGTTGGCCTCCTCTTCCCATTCATTCAGGTATGATTGACAGGAGCCCCTGGCCATTGGAGGGATTTCCTTTCATTCCACAGCCCATGGAGGCCAACTCACAGTGCACAGAGGATCTATCTCTCTTTTCTCTCTCCCTACCTTTCCCCCTCCTCTTCCCCTCCCCTTCTCCCTCTCTCTCTCTCTCTCTCTAGCTGTCTCTGTAATCTCATGCTATTGTTCCGAGAAAGGAAAAAGCTAAATTTTCACTAACATTCTTCTTTTCCCTCCTGTGCCTTTCTGGAGCTGTCCCTGATGCTGTGGGCTGCCTGGAAGAGGTGGGCTGCCCTTGCTGAGGGTACAAGAAGACTTGAATTAAACCCCCAAAGTTTATGACTTCCTCATCATTTCTGCAATGTGCTAGTCACCATGTCAGACAAGTTTCATATAATTCTATTGCACCCTGCAACCCTGCCATCTACTTAACATCCAGTGGTGCCACTGTCCCAAGGGTAGGAAAATGCCTGCATACTGAGGGATTGAATGCAAGTTCTTTTCATGAAGGTAAAGAATTATTCATTCACTGAATAATTAATTCAGCACAGGCTTACTGAGTCCCCACTGTGTGCCAGGCACTGTTTCATGTAACAGGGATAGGTGGGAGCAGAGATGCACGTGAAGTGAGGGAGCAAAGCAGACTGGGAGTGACAAAGTCTAGGCTAGAGAAACAGCAGTGCAAAGGCCTTGAAACAAAACTGTGCTTGGCCTGCATGGGGCGCAGTACAGAGGCCAGTATGGCTGGAACAGGGTGAGCAAGGAAGGCGAGAGGCAGATGTAGTGACTTCCAAGGTCACCCCACTAGGACATGACAGAGCTAGGACTTGACCCAAGTCCCTCATCCTTACCCATAAAACAAGGGGAGAAAGGAGCCCTCTTACCATTATTCAGCAAGTGACCCCATCCAAAAGTCCATTTTAACTCCAATAGTTAATTTGATACCTGAGGGAGAGGGTTTCAGGACACCTGCTGATTCCAAACACCCCCCAGTGCTCTTGTCTCTTAGATCAAACAGCTCAGCATTTGCACAGAACCTTTGCACATCCTGCCGTACCCCTTAAATTACCTACTGCGCCTATGCTGTGCGTAGACATGGGGGGAAATGGCAAGTCTGTACATGTTCAGTGCAGACACGGGATTTTTTTCAAATAATTTGCATCCACAGTTAGATATGAAGGGTTGATTGTATACACACACACACACACACACACACACACACACACACACACACACATACACACATCCCTCCCAAAGGAGCCTCCAGCTGAAGTTGGATCCACATCACTCTTATCTGGTAAGTCCTGCCCATCCACGGCTCCATCCAATAGGAATGCAGTACTGCCTTTTCCTGGAGGCACTAACTTGAACTCAGTGCATTCTAGTCCAGCTTACATTCTTTTCCACAAGCCTCTTCATTCAATCCACTCCACTGGATTTCTTATCAAATAGGCCAAGGAGGGGGCCATGAACACTTGGCATCCACAAGGTCACCTTGATGGTCACATTCTGCTGGATGTCTTCCTGTCAATTCAGGGAAGGAAGGAAACAGGAGGAAACAGCCCCAGAGTCTCAGTGGCTTTCAACCCTCCAGGATCATTTGTCACTCACACTACAGCCAGAGTGGACTGGCCAGGCTTCCTGATTCGGGGATGCTCTTCCCTGGCGTAGGGAACATGGCACTTGGCATGCTGGCCCTTTAGAGGAGTCACAGCTACATTCCCAGCAATGTCCCTCTCATCAACTTTCCTTGTTGAAGGAAACTGCTACATTTCCACATAGTTCTGATTCATGGGAGTGGAAAAAAGCTGAGATTTTTCTTTAATATCAAGGACCTTTTCCTAAAAGTATCACTTTTCCAAAATTGCCTTACATTTTTGGCACAGTTTAACATTATACTATATTCTGAAGAGAAAATTTTCCCTGAATCAGAGAACATGGAACATTTTCATGACCATTTCTAATGACATAAAAGGTATATTTGCAGAAGTGATGCAACTATGGCTAATAGCTTTTATGTCATGTGGAAATGGAGTAGAAAGTAGGTGATTGCTCATGTCAGATGGAAGGACCAAGTGCCCCTAGCACTGTGACCTGTGCAAGTAGCATGAGCGTCCTCTGGCTTGATATCCTCCTCTGTGAAGAGGAACTCAATAGGCCTAAGCAAGAGGCCAAGATCTGGCTCCATAAAAGTAAATGCTCGTTTCGTTGAGTTCCTTCCTTCCTCTCCCTGCTCCATGCCCTCCTACTGATGCCCTACTTAAGAGAAGGTTCTGCAGAGCCAGTACCTAGGGTGGTGGCTCTGAATATGTGTGTAAGATAGGAGCAGTGGTGAGCATGTGTCTGCAAGTGTTCTGTGCCCCCACTAGGGCAGGTCCTGCATTGGGACAGGGGCACTGTATTAGCTGTTTGTGCTGCTATGACCAAATCCCACACACTGAGTAATTTATAAAGAACAGTAATGTACTTCTCATGGCTTCACTCGGAGTGATTTAGGACGTGGTAGCTTCTTTTTTGAGAATAATCTTAGGGGTGAAGGTAAGAAATAGGGAAATTGGATGAGAAGCCACAGCAGTTTCCAAGCAAGACATGTTGGTGGCCTGAGCCAGGGTGCAGAGATGATAACCACAGAGTGGTGAGAAATGCTCAACGTGACTTTCTGGTGGATGAGATGGGAGTGGGAGAGGCAAAGAGGAGCTCTCCTGACTCTAGGTGCTTTGGTTGGCCTAAGCCATCAGAGAGATGGGAGAAGGGAGCAGACAGGAGCAGGCTAGGAGAGGCTCCACTGGACTTGGCAAGTCAAATGCTCATTCAGCAGGCAAGCGGAGATAGAGAGTGTGAAATGGGATGTTCTCATTTCATCTTCGAGACCACATGCAGTGCCTACTGATCACCATGTTAAAAACCAGGGAGGCTCCATGGGTGGAAACTGTTCTTAAACAGCACATCTTACATGTTGGTAACCTGTGAGAAATGGAGCCAGGATTTGAATCCCACTTCACTGACCCAGTTCCCTACTCTGCCCCCTCCACACTATTCATGGACTCTTTGTGGAAGAGTAGAAGGCACACACCCTCAGAGCAAAGCACCCTAAGGTGTACTGCATGCAGTACTTTAGCAGTATTCCACTTAATCCTTGCAACAGCCCTGCACCTTCCGCTATTATCCTTACTCTGCAACTGTGGAAACTGAGGCACAGAGCATCTCAGATGCTTTGTCTGTTGGATCTCAAATGTGATCTAGAGGTCAGGCTCTTAATATTAAGCTATGCTCCAAAAATAGGTCTCTCCCAGCCTCTTACAGAGACATACAAGACGATTGCTTCCATTCCAGCATTCTCTTTTCTTGTCTGTCTTGTTTGTGCAAGACTGTGTCAGAGAATCAAGTCATGAGTTAGATCTTTTGCATAGTTGCATATTTTCATATTGAAAAATCAGTGCTTTCTTTTTTTTTGTGGTATTGGGTTTGAACTCATGGTCTCACACTTGGTAGGCAAAAAGGAAAAAGTGTTTTCTTAGTCTATCATCCATATTTTTCTTATGAAGTGGGGCATTTCCCTTCCCTTTGTTGTCACACTTGTCTGTGAGTAGTGGGAGTGGAGAGAGAGCATGAGTGGTAGCACAAACCTAAGATAATATTCAGCAAGTCTTATATTTTACTTTCACACTGACCAATTTTAAATGCCTAATTTACAAAAAATGAAGCAATAAAGACTGACACATCCTCATCTTGACCTGGGTGTCAAGCTGCTTTATTCAGGTTGCATTTGGGAATGCTCCACATAGAGTGTCACTTGCCTGTGAGAGCCACATCACACGTGGATTTTATTGCTATATGTTTGGGGAGTTATAAAGCAGCATCTCAAAGATGGTGTTGCAGCCTGTTAGCTTTCTGATTGTTTATTTGTTGTTCTTTGTCACTGCCTTTCCACAGAAAAGTCTGGACTCCTACTGCTTCCTCGTGTTTGCCTCAATATGTATCATAGGTGCCGTCTACTTCTATTTTGTCCTGCCTGAAACCAAGAACAGAACACATGCTGAAATCAGCCAGGCATTTGCCAAGAGGAACAAGGTTCAACCTCCAAAGGAGAAGTCGACTCCACTGTAGATTCTGCCTCCACGTTGGACAACCATGACAAAAACAGGATTGTTTAAATGTGGTCTCTCCATTTCAAAGAAACAAAGATTTCCCCATATTTGGAAGGCTTAAACAGATTGAAGCCACACGTCCTTAAAATACACCTACTGACCTAACATCACAACCATTTCTTAGCTACATCTCCCATATTCTTCCGAAGACTGGAAAGAACCACCTTGTGTTCCAGTGGACCCAGCACCCTTGGGATCCAAGGCCTGCCCTCTTTGAGACCTAGGCAATAGTTTTGAAGTGAAATTGGGGGAATGCCGTTAGGATGCTTTCTCAAAGGAAAACCATGTGGCCTGATGAAGGACTCAGTAGACCAGGAATCTCAGACTGAGACCTGAGTCCCCATGAGCCGTAAGGAGCCCAAAACTGCCCTCCACCTGAAGCCTACAGCCCCCATGACTCCAGGCTTTCAGAGTCCAGTGAAAGGTTATTTTCTACCTCTTGATCAGTGCCCTTCTCTAATTTTTGTCTCTGCCTTGTGGATATCAGGAAATGCTAACCCTCCACAGAACCAGCTCTGTCCCAGGAGCTCAAGACTGCCAGGTCTGAGGCCATCTTTAGTTCAGACTGTTACAGAGAAGCAGACATAAGGAAAAACTTTCTGGTCACCCAGGCAGGGACAGCAAGTTGAACTCCATCCAATTGAAACCATATTGAGAATGATTCTGAGATGAGGGCTCTACTTGATGGGCAAGAACGTTGTGACTGATTGACACAGAAGGTGTCTGACACAAAAGGAGCCAAATAAAGTGCAAATGGCTGTCGCGGGTGCAGGAGTGGCAGCGAGAGTATGGGCCGTGTGCCTCATGTCTGCCAGACTAGAAGGGTTTTATCTTAAGAGGTAATGAGCTGCCACGAAAGATGGCGAGTTCACCATCACTCAAAAAGCTCAAGAGAAGGCTGGGTGATCACTGGTCTTCACTGGTGCTAAGGGAACGTAAGCGTCAGTTGTACGGGTGTCTGGAGTGGATACCCTTCCATCCTAGGGTTGTGTCAACATGAGGCCTGCCATTGTCATGGTGCTCAGCTAACTCCCCATTCTTGCCTCCAATGCAAAGTGCAAATGACAAATTTCATAAGTAAGTGACAGTGCACTCAGATTAGCACCAGCAGGTTTGAGTTTAATGTCACAGAAGGAGTGAGGCCAGCAAGGGAAGACTCTGGACCAGGCAACACCACGAGAACTTTCAGGTTTCTCTGACCATTCTTGACCAAGGGGCCTTAGCTAAAACCTGAGCTCTGATTTTTCTTCCTGCTGTATACTATTCCTGGTTGATTGTCAGCTCAGGGCACCGTGCCGTCCAGCTTTGGTTTGGACAGATAATTCAAAGTTGTTAATATAGAGAGAAAGTAATGTGTAAGTACAAAAAGTGTCTGACACAAAAGGAGCCAAGTAAAATGCAAAATATAAATCTTAACTTTTGAATGTTCTCGTTTATTTGGGGACTAGAATATTTAGTCAATATACACCACAGTGGTATTTATTACAGGACAGTGATATAGATACAGGCAACAGGAATGGCTGGAATAACAGTTGAGAAACAGGAAAGTCTTCCCAAATAAGTGACAGAAACAAAATGGGGAACTGTGACTCTCTGGCAATAGGACAGAAATCATTCTTTCATGTTATTATATTTGAAAAGAGAGTAAAGCTACACTGAGGTAATTTTTGCAAAATGAAACCACAAGACACCCATTATCTCATATGCTTTGTTCTCTCTGGCAGCATCATTTTGATTCTTATACCTCTGGCCATTTCTTGCCTATTACTTATCCAATCATGATCACAGAATATATGAAACGCGATTGCAGTCACCATTCTCTTATCTCCTGTTTTTCCCACTTGATATTCAATCAAACACACCATCTCAGCTCCAAAGCCTCTGCTCCCACTCCAGCATCCACATATCAAATTGTTTCTCAGACTCTGAATAACAGGGAGTGGCGAGTCGGAGAGGCAGACCTTTCCATGAGTTGTGCTATGCAGGCTTTGCCCCCTTGCTGGATAGAACGAACCATGGACAGCTCCCTGCATTCATGCATGGGCCCGGAAGACTCTCCAGTCAAATTAACGGGCCTCCTTTCCTAACTCCTGCCCAAGGTTGGGGATCCAGTCCTTGTCTTTCTGTCTCACCGGTTCCCTTATCTCCACATCCTGGAGGCTGCATTTCCACCTTTCAAATTCAACGAAAGAAAAGTAACTCTTTCGACTTCTGTTCTGGTTAAGATGAGTAAGCACACACAATGCTATTTCTGTCACTGATTTTAACTAAAGACCCTGGGAGAATCACAATGCAAATGAACGAGAATCCTGAAAACAAATTACAGCAGACAAACTAGGAGGGAGAACAAAACCGGGAGAATGACTAATGTGGCAGTCAGCTTTCTACATTTTTCCTCCCATATCTCTTGGCTTACACTCTAGGACAAACTGATTTCCAGAACTACACAGTGGGTGCTTGACAGAAGAAGATCCAAGAGATCTAGGGACCTTTTGTCTGTCCCTGTCCCTGGTGACAGAGGAATGAGCTTGTGGGGAAAAGAAGGTAGCTCGGCCCTGAGGCAGCAGCAGTGACTGCATAGGAACCTAAAGAAAAATCCTTCTTCTAATGAGGGAACTTGGAAAAATGGGTGTAGGAGAATACCTGGTCTTTTTTGCTTCTTTCTCTTTTTTTTCTGTTCATGTTTTGCCCAGATGTGATCCAAGTTGTAAGATGTATAGCACAATGGAAGATAAAACCTTACATTTTTAGCCAAAAGACCAAGAGAAGAGAAAAGTGGAAAATTGGGGGTGTGGGGGAAATTAGGTGAGGAGGGATGAAGAAAGAAGACCCAAGATCTGTGTGAAATCCTGGGCTCACACCTGAGAGCTACATGCCTGAAGCCAACGGGCTCTGAGAATCAAAAATACCTTGAAGCTACTCAAGACACAGAGGTCAGGAGGACCTCTGAAGTCAACCCTGGGCAAATAGCTCATAAGAACCTATATCAAAAATACCCAAAAAACACAAAAAAAATCCAACACAAAAAAAAAGCCCGTGGAGTGGCTCAAGTGGTAGAACACCGGCTTAGCAAGCATGAAACCTTGAGTTCAAACCCCAATACACCAAAAAAAGAAAAAAACCCAAAAACGCATATAGACCATAGCACACACAGGTACACCCACAGGGTGCACACACAGGGTGGATCCAAATGGCACTGTGAAGACTTTCAAAATTAAACTGAAATCAGAAGCACAGTTCACAGAACATGGGTGAGAGCTCTAAATGATTGTCTGCTTTAAAATAAAATTGTCCAGAAGGCTTTAATAGGGCCTCATGTATAATATTCAAAATGTCCAAGACACAATTCAAAATTACTAGGCATATGAAACCTCACCAACATCTTTTGGTGGTACTGTACTGGGGTTTGGACGCAGGGCCTTGCACTTGTTAGACAAACACTGTGCCACTGGAGTCATGCCCTTAGCCCTTTTTGTTGCTTTAGGGTTTAAGATAAGGTTTCACTTTTTTGCCCAGGCCTGGCTGGAACCATGATTCTCCTATATATCCCTTCCGTGTAGCTGTGGTTACAGGTAAATGCTTATTTGTTGAAGTGGGGTCTCACTAACTTTTTGCTACAACTGACCTCAAACCACAATCCTCCCAATCTCTGCCTTCCAAGTAGCTGGGCTTACAGGCATGAGCCACTATATCTGCCTCTTCACCAACTCTTAGAGGAAATATCAATGAACCCCATAAGATGACCCAGATATAATTGCTAGTTTAAAGAAACTACTATGACCATTCTCCGTAAGATGGAAATCAAAGCTATTTCTAAAATTGAAAGCTTTAGAACTAAAAAATGCAAAAACTGAAATGTAAATCAAGTTCATAGCAGAATGGAGATGTTAGAGAAAAGGGTCAGTGAACAAACAGAGAGACCATTAAAAATCACTCATCCAAACCACAGAGAAAACAGAAACAGAGTTCCAAGGGCCTGTGAAGCAATATAACAGGATTTATGTCATTGGAGTCCCAGGAGGAATTGGTGCTGAAATATAGACAGATGGTAAGTAGGGAGAGAGACAGAGAGAGAGAGAGAGAGAGAGGGGTGGGGGGGAGAGAGAGAGGGGATAGATGGATGGATGTGTAGACAGATAGATAGATATACATAGATGGATAGATAGATAGATAGAATTAAGACTCCCCAAATTTGGTAAAAGACATAAATCTATAGTTTCAAGAATGTCAGAGAACTTTAAAGAGAATAAATTAAATTAATGTGTCAAACACATTAAAATCAAACTGATGGAAAGCTAATGTAAAGGAAAATATTTTGCGAGGGAGAAAGTCAGCATTACAAGATGATTTGGATGACTGCACTTTCTCATTAGAAGCTGAGTAAGTCAGAAGATACTGCAACAAAATGAAAGATACTGCAACAAAATTTCAATATTTTTCAAATGCCAAAAGGAAGACCTGTCAATTCAGCTTGAATGTTTGAAAGATCCATCTATGTGCTCTTTATGACAAGCCCACACTAAATAAAATAATATAGATAGGTTAAAAGCAAAAGAATGATAAAAGATATATCACGCATCATGAACTAAAAGAAAGCTATCATGGCTACACAAAAGCTAGGAAAATACACTTGAAACAAGGGGAATTACCAGTGGAGAATGAGTTACTAGCAAAATATATAGTAATTTTAGTGTATTTAGAACATTCAACAAAATAGTCTATACAATGGGCCATAAAACAAACCTCAACACATTTAAATAATTAAAATCTTAAAAAGTAGGACTGGAAATGTGGCTCAAGTGGAAAAGCACCTACATAACATACAGGAGGCCCTGAGTTCAAGTCCCAGTACTGCCAAAAAAATAAAGGATTTTAAAATTACAAAAAGTATATTCTCTGACTATACGGTAATAAATAACAAAGGAATATGGAAAATTCCCAAGTTTTGGAAATTTAAAA